GTTTGTAAAATCTTGGGTCAACATTCAGTTCTGTGAAAGTGAGTTTAGCAATAAGATCGTTGGCCATGAGCTGTAGCTCATTTTGCGCTTTCTCTACTTCCTCAGGTGGACCTTCTATCTTAATTTTATCCTCCTTTCCTGTAAACTCTACATTTACTTTCGGCATTTCTTGAGTAATTTTCTTGATATTTACACCCTTGCGTCCAATGATGTATTTATGTATCCAAACTGGAGCTTCTACCACAGCAGTACGGACACTGTTTGCCTTTTCATACACCTTGTTAAGTGCTACAAGTACAAACATATATGGAATACATTATAAACACATATATTATAAAAAAATTTAATTAACAATATTTAATGTATCCATTTTCAGATTTCTTACCTTGACCAAGTTTCTCTTGAGGTCCTCTAAGGGTTATAGTGCCAGTTGCCGAGTCAGGCGCAGGCATCTCTACACTTACTCCAGTTGTTTGTAATATCTCTGCTATGGTACTGCCACGAGGTCCAATTACATATTTGTGTTGAGATTTGGGAACTTCTACAGATACTGTAGTACATCTTTTTTCCTATATTATTTATAAATTATGTATATTACAGGGTATATATTACAAGATATTGCAGGGTATATATTACAAAATATTTTTTCCAACATACCATGTCTTTGTAGATACTTTCAATCTTTTGCTTTGCAGCTAAAACTCCTTCCTTCTCGCCAGCTATGGTTATTTCATCCTGCTGTACTGATGCAGGAGGAATATTGATACGAGCACCAGTTTCTGCCATCATAGCATTGAGATTTTCATTATGCGCACCATATATGAATGGATGATATATTTTTGGCACAGTTATTCTTTCGAAAGCTTTTCTAGACTGCAACATTTATAATAAAATGGTTGAATAATATTGATATAATATCAATATATTGTATATAAAATAAATATATATATATATATATATATATATATATATATATCTGTTTGCAATTTTTATCATTATTTTTATCATTATTTTTAGAATTACCTGTTCATCAGAGATAACTCTAATTTCATGTTCAGCCTTTTCAATGCCTTCCTTTGTTCCTGTAATTGTTATTATATCTGATTGATCTTGCACACCAGGAACATTAATTTTTGTAGCAGTTTTCTGTTCCAGATCTTTTAATCTCTGTCCTTGCTTTCCAAGAATCCAACGATGATGATCCTTAGGAATACTAATTTGCTTACTTGCCTATAAAAATTGATAAGAAGTTGCGATATAAACTTATTGAGTATATCTATAAAGAACAAAGTACATCAATACAATGACATTAAAATAATATTATACCTGAGTTTGAAATGTTGTTAAAATGCGTCGTTTGGCTTCTAGAACCTGATTTTGTTTTCCAGTTATAAGAAACGTTAGAGACTGATCCTTAGATGATGCAATTTCAATAATAGTATTTGTTTCTTTCATGATGGTTTTACATGTACGGATAGACTCACGTTCGCCAAACTTATCACTATGATCAAACTTGCGCTCTTCCCCCGGTACACGGAACATCTATATATATAAAAAAAAAAAAGAATATATAAAATTAATCAAGAAAATAAACATAACTAAGGAATTTTAAAAATATTTCAATATTTAAACTTCCAGGAAAAAAAGTTATAATGTAAAAGAATCAGTTTTCAAAATTATAATGTATGCAAAAAAATGTTAAAATATAAAATTGAATCATTATATAATTATATAGATTTTTTTAAAGTCACTATAACTAGTTTAACTAGTTACAGTGACTTTCAATCTACATGTATAAAGAGCCTCTGTAATAGCTTGCCAAAAATTGTCTATATGTCAGAGATATAGTATTATTATTTTCAGCCAGTAAACAAGTAATATCTTAATCATCAAGTTATAATAATTTGCACAAGTGTTTTAATTCTTGCAAAAATAAAACGCAAAGATAAAATTCTACCTCAATCTTTATAGAAAAAATATCTTTACAAATTATTTTTAAAGCAAGACTTTGCTGCATAATAATGTTTTTCATATGACTTTATCATCCAAAGAGATTAAATATTTTACAAATACATGTTATAAATTTTTATATCTCTCTTTTAACAAACTATATATCTTTCATGATTATTTAATTAAAAGAAAGATTACTAAGTAGCAAGAAAAATGTATAAAATTTACAAATTTCTACCTGTGTAATAGTTATACGTCCAAGCTGTAAACTGTTGTTTATAGAAAATATGTTTAACTGTCCAGAGTTGGAGCTAGATGATTCGGGAAGGACAGGGAATGTTTCATCGTAAGTAGGTGGCTCATAGGCCGTTCCCTCTTCCATTACTGACTGCTGCTGCATTTTGGGGTTGTCCTGTTTCGTGCCAAGTCCTTACAGTAGCACTACAATACAAATAAGTATATTTCATCTTATTAGACATTTTTATAATTAAATGATGATAATATATGATGAATATATGATGATAAATATGGATATACTATAAAGTGGATATGCTATAACGTATATGTAAATGTAATAAAACTCATATTTATTAGAATATAATAAAAAAAAAATATATATATATACATATATACATATGTGCATTTATATATATATATATATATATATATATATATATATATACACACCATATATAATATGTACACGTGCACAGGAATTTTTAATTTTTAAAAAACATGTGAGAAAAAATGTTGCATTGCATAAAGAATGGAATTATAATAATGATTATTATAATGAAGAAAAATTTTACATAAAATGTAAAGCGGATTTCAATATATCATTATCGCGAATTTTCACGATAATTTGTTAAAAGTCCTATCGCGACGAATGGAAAGATAAATTATCATTGCGGCAAAACAGGACAGGAGTGGAGGGGGAGGGGAGGAGGAAGGGAGAGAAAGATGGAAAAAGAATTTTCATATCGAAGATAAATTTTTTTTCCTCGAACATAGAAATAATAATGTAACCGAATAATCGCTCGAATATTTCCACGGAAACCGATTCGAATCGGTAATTGAGGCTTTCGCAACATCATATACATATGTATACATATGTATGTCTTTTTTTTTGCATTTAAGCTCGCTACAATATGCGTGCTCTTTCGGAACAATCTTGACTTTACGACAATTCGGTTGGCCTTCCGTCAAAATAAGTAAAGGACTTTTAAGGCTTTTCCTAAAGCTAGCGAATTTTCCAGCCAGATGAGGATGATATTAACCGAGACTCGAGCAAGTGCGAGGTGTTAAACGCAGGAAGCATGTCAATGACCAGTAGCCGAGACAGCGACCACCACCATATGGAATGGAGTGTTAACTTGACACGTCACGAGATCGCTAACCTCTCTCACGTCGGGGCCCAACATCTGCACGTCGCGACTCGACGAGAAAGGACGGTCCCCGCGACACGAAGGGACGAAGAAAGCGGAAGGAGAATCGGCGAGGGCGACGTTACCGGAGGAGGAAGGCGCGCGTTTTCCTCGACACGAGGCGAGGACGCACCAGGATAAAGCACACGGGAGAATTTCTGAGAAATTTGCTACTTACTCTACCGTAATAAAGAAATCCGGCCAAGTAATAAACGCGTATTACGTAGCCAGTTTAACGGTGATTTGCCTGAAACAGTACAACGTCGGTTACGAGGAACGAACAACGTATTTCGAGAGCACGAGATCTAATTAAATTAACGTGGAGCGAATTATCGCCCCATTACTCGAGAGATATCCGTGACTACTCTTACCGGTAACGCAAAGTGAAATGAGACGGGACGGCTGAAAGTTACAATCTCAGGGGAAATATCGGAGCCTGCGTGTCATACGTCTGCACTCGTCGTACGAGCCTGTACGATGCGGACGTACCGATTGGCCGGGTTTGGAAGAAATTTTGACAATTCTAGAGATCCTCTCTAACTCTCTAGCCAATCAGAACAGTTGGACAAAATATTTTTTAGGGTTACGTTCCAAAACGCAAGTAACCAAGGAAAATTTTACTCGATGGCTGATTCTAACCAATCGGAAACGCTTAAAAGAGTTTCGGAACGGCTATCGAGTAAAATTTTCCTCGGAGAGTACGGAGAGTACGTTTTGGAACATACCCTAGACCGATATTACATTTGTCGTACGACAAATTTTTTAAGCACATTGATTGGCTGCGGGATAGTAATTTTTCGAGTCTTTAGAAACTTTCTGTTTTGCAGCCAATCAATATGTTTGAAAAATTTGACGTATAACAAATGTAATATCAGCTCAAGGCTAATATTATATTTAATTTATTATAAAATAAATTTAATTAATTTAATTAATTTAATTTATTATAAAAATTTAACTTGTGACAAACTTTTCAAGCACATTGATTGGCTACGGAATATAAATTTTTAAAGATTCAAAAAATTGCTATCTCGCAGCCAATCAATGTGCTTAAAAAATTTGTCGTACGACAAATGTAATATCAGCCTGAAGGTGGAAGCATGTAAAATTGCAGGAGCACATATAAAGATAAGGAAATGATTGGTCCACAAATATATGCATAAGAAAATGAACCAATCAATTTTCTTATGCTTATGGCCGGTATTCATAGTCCGATCTTACATTTGAGATCGTCTTAAGTTCGAGCTTGAAATGCTACGCAGCTATTTGATTGGTTGAATGAGGTCTTAAGTCAACCTCCAAGCAGACTTAAGACGATCTTAAATATAAGATCGGACTATGAATACCGGCCTATGATTATGCGCTCCTGCAATTTTATGCGCTTCAGGCTGCAAAAAATTCTAGAGATGCCTCGAAGCGTCAACCAATTGAAATAGAGGAATTTTAATTCTCCCCATCCCGATTGGATCATCGAACGCTACGCTCTGATTCGCCGACCGCTAGTGATTTCCACTAGATGCATCGGTAAAACAGAGCCCCCGCCTACGCTCCTCGGTGACAATCGTCGACGCCGCGCGTTCGATGCTAGAGGGCGCGGACGGCGGCGAAGAGACATCGCCCTAGATAACGGTAGAATCGCGTAGTGTCGCGTTGTCTTTTCGCGAGAGCGTGAAAATTTCGGTACGACGCGGGGGTACATTGGCGGGAGAGAGAGAGAGAGAGAGAGAGAGAGAGAGAGAGAGAGAGAGAGAGGGAAAAAGAAAGAAAGAGAGAGAGAGAGAGGCGCGTCCGTCCGCCCGCGAAAGAGCGTCGTCGTCATCTTCGTGGAGAGACCCGCGTCGAGAGATCCTCGAACCGGTGCGAACGAGTCACTCGGCTACGATCGATCGGCAGCCCGTAGTCCCGCGATATCGGTGCGAGCCACGTCGAGGGCGAGACGGGAAGAGACTCGACTCGACTCGACTCTCGAGTTCCGTCATCCGGCATCGTCATTTACGTCGGCATTCGCGGCGCGACTCGTCGGGAGTCTTGCCGAAGTGCGGAGAGGAAGAGCGACGAAGCGTCGAGTGCCTGTCGCTCGCTCGTCGGAGGCTGCTGGCTCGCGCTCGGAGGCAACGGAGGAGGCGCAGCGACTCCCCAGTTATCTCCCCATGAACTCGTGACAGTGCAGCGACCAGGAGGAAGCCGTACCGAGGCAGAGACGGAGAGATAGCCTGCCGATCGACGGGGAATCTCGGTCTCGAGGAGCGACGAAGCGTTGCACGCGAGACGGAGACAACGGAAGAAGAGTGAAAGGGAAGGAGAAAGAAAGACAGAGACAGACGGAGGGAGAGAGAGAGACACGGGAGCTCGTGCGTGCGTGTGTGTATGCGCGCTTGAGAGCCGTCGAGCCGACTTGCGCGAGCGACAGAGACAGCGAGGGAGAGATAGATAGAACGACAGAGAGGAGGCGGAAGAATTATCGAGTGAACCCAGGAGAGGATATTGCGTTCTGCGAGCGAAGCGTGGGGTATCCAGGAGGCACGAGAGGTAAGGACCGACTTCTTGCACGGCTTCTAAAAAAAGATCCTCCCCCCGTCCCGTCCCCCTCCTCGTCCTCCCCTTCGCGCCCTCTCTCGTGAGAAGGCGCCGTGCATCGTCGTGGCGTGGCACGCCGAGCCGACCGACCGGAAATCGTCGACGACGAGGACGACGAGGACGGTGGCTCGAGGCACGGCAGGATCCCTTCCTCGCCGCGCACGTGTCTTTGCGCGGGGGTCTATTCCCGTTATCGCCTCGCGTGTCGTTTTAGCTGCTCGTCGACGCCGGGGGCACCGGAATCCACGGGCCCGAGCTCGCCGGAACGACGACCATTCGGTGGACGTCGTCGTCGACGTCGACGAGAGAGAGAGACGGGGAGGACGCACGGGCGTTTCTTCCTCTCATTATTCTCCGTTCTCGCGACTTTTCCCAACGAGTCGACGAGAGATCCGACGACCGGCTTCTCCTCCTCCTCCTCCTCCTCTTCTTCTTCTTCCCCCCCGTCCCACACCGGGCAACCAAGCGTTTCCTCTTACGGTCACGGCCCACCCGAGCCGCTACGCGATACGCGACGATAGCAAAGCTTCGCGTGAGCATCGTTTACGCGAAACTCGACGCTCCTACGTACGAGTCGTTCCCGTACATTAATGAAGTAGAATTAACCGCGGGTTTTTTGTTCTCGAGTAATTTTTTGTTTTGATTTTCGCGAGACGAAGAATTGGTCGCACTAGAGTCGAGGAGAGGCGAGTTTTTCGATAAATTTCGCGTGACTAATGCCGGAAAAAAATAGAACGAAAAGCGGACGACAAAGGCGTGTTCTTTTCAAGCCCTCCGTTTCCTGCATGTCTCTGTTTGTAAAATAAAATGGACGAATACTCGAGTCTTATGAGGGAAGAGAAAGAGGGGAGAGAGATGAGACGAGATACGTAAAAAGAGAAGTAGGAGAATGTAATTAGAGAGGAGAAATTTTTTTTTTCTTAATTGAACGTAGTCGATTCGACCTTCTTTTTTTCCACTGGATTTTTTATTTCATTATTTCTATAATCGAGAGCAAAATATATTATCCAAGTCGCCTGTTAATATTGTCAATCTAACAATTGTTTATTAATAGGGAGGAAAAATATATTATTTAAATATATTATTTAAATATACTATTTAAATATATTATTTAAATATACTATTTAAATATATTATTTATATTATTCAAGTCATCTGTTGATTGTCAATCTAACAGTTATTTATTAATAAAAATATCAGGTTCTTGGGGAAGTAATATTTGCTTCGATGCATCAATGTTCGAAGCTCAAAGTTACGATCCTTTAAATCAGAGCGTTGACATGAATCTTGTTAGTCCGTAATGCGACGACGGGAGAAAAGAATAAGAGATTAATCGTTTCAAAGTATCGAGGGGAGGAGAGAACTAAACACGAGGGAAACTCGAGCCACGGTTCTCTTCGTGATCCTTGTTGAGTTTGACCGCAAAATTCTCCTAAGATGTAAAAAATACACGCAATAGGAACAGTTGCCAAAATAACGATCTAAATTTTTTTTAATTCTAAATTTCGAGTCTATTTCAATCAAATTTTAATTTCTGCTCAAGCGCACTTGAGGGAGGGATATGTATATAATATTTAAAAGTCTATCGATTCACCAGGAGAGAATGAAACGAATTGCTTACAAAAATATTGCCCTGGAGATATACAGATGAATGTTGAAAAGAACCGACCTTTCTGATCACATTTTTAATTTATCCGTTATTTATAGCAATTTATTATTCGATGAAAAAAGCAACCCTCTTGCTGATGTACAATTATATATACATACATCTGGGGTATCCCACGCAACTGGGCAGACTTGTCTCTTTAAAATGTAATTAGGTACAAAAAAATAATGTAAAATTAAATGGTTTTAAACGTTCTATATTTCTACATTACCTTTATGCATTATATTTTATACATTATTTTTCTGCAGTTACAAGTAATTCAATTGCATTTTTTTAAGAATCTCATATATTTGGATATTAATTGTGAAAAGTACAGTTCTTTTTTCTAGAAAGTTTATGCTTAAAAATTGTTGGTTTAAAAGTTATTTTAATTTTAAGTTTGTAAAGTAGCATGGGTTCTATTAGCAGATTTACCTATTCTTTCTTATCTGCATATTTCTGCTTATGTTTAGTAAAGGTCATCATGTTTGTATATCTAATATCTCGAATTTTTTAATATCTCGAAATAGAATATTTTATGTTTAGCATAATAATTGTGTGCGATCGATAAACTTAATAATTTTTTATTTTATAATATCTTAACAATATGAAAAAATACGAGAAATCTCTAAACAAAAATTATTTGATTTTTTTATTGAACTTTTTGTATATTTATTGGGTACAAAAAATGATCCATTATCAAACTTTAAATATTTTCGTACTTTAATTTTTTAATACATTGTTAATTTGTATTTCTATTATTTTAGATATTTCTAATATTATATGATCTCACTTTGCAAATTTATAATTAATTGCTTTAAAAACTTGAAGTTAAAATAACTTCTAAATTAACATTTTTAAATATAAATATATAAAAATATACAATTTTATCAAAAAAAAAGTGCAAATGAATTTTGCAATTGTATTCATACACAAAAATACATAAAAAAATATAAATATAAAGCATTCAAAGTCACTTAATCTGCAGTTGTATTCATACACAAAAATACATAAAAAAATATAAATATAAAGCATTCAAAGTCATTTAATCTTGCTTTGCAATTTTTCCTCTTCTATCTCTAATAATTTTAAAAATACAGCTTCGGCCAATTGCATAAGACACATACATTTGTAGATTTTAAAAATAAAATTTTTAGCTAAAATAAAAATTGAAATTTGGATAAAATACGAAAAATAAGTTTTCAGATCGTTCTTTTGCTAGCCATATTGCCCCGCCCGTTGTGTGTATTTTTACATTTCAAGATAATATTTTGTGGTTGGTCCCCGTTGGATTCTCAACAAAGATCACAAAGCATCGTGAAGAACGTGGCGTTCTAATCCGCAGTCGACTCACGTGAGTCACCGCGACGCAGGAAGTGACTCGAGAAGAAAGACGGCAAGAATGTCATTTATTCGACATAATGTTGATCGAGTACGTTCCTATACAATGAGAGAGATTTCAATGGCACAGCTATAAGGTAGAAATCTATCTTAAAATACAGCGTAACGATTTCATTTCTCCCATATGAATATAGATCTGAAAGTTTTTACGACGAGAAAACGAAATAAATTCCCGATTCGAGTTCGAAACGATACGCTCTTCGGATATACATCATAATTCCTCGTAAAATCTGTTTTGCAATTCATAAGCGCGCTCGATTTTACCTAGTTTTTTTTTTTATTTGTGCGGAAAGCATCGCAACTTGGTAGATTATAAATGATATTAACAAGTGTGTACGTATCGTAATTATGCAGCAAGAGTTTACTTAACGTTTTCGAATATCTAAAAATATCAGTAGGTTTTAAGGACACGCGGAAACTTTTTAACGGTAAAGTTGCAGAATAAATAAACACGTCGGATGGTAATAATAATTTCAGATGACATTTAACGTTATATTAATTAAACGAATGTCGCTAAAATGTCAATGCTGGAGAGATACTAGATGTACAATTGCATACGATATCATCGCGTATCGCGTAGGAAAAATGATAAAGTCGGGTATTATTTAAGCGATAACTTGGCAACAGACCATATTCATCCTTGAAAGCTTATACAGGGAATTTTGCTCGTTTGCGTTGTTTGATCGATGAATGATTATAAAGATACCGTGTTTTCGTTTCTCTATAATAAAACGTATTATAAATTCTTTTATAATATTACGTACATTTCAGCCAATGATACATTGCCGGCGGATACTATTAGAACTTCGTTATAAATTGATTTTTTTTTATTTATTATTAATATATTAATACAAATCTTTTTAATAATCTAGTTAAATCTGGAAATTTTTTCCAACAGATAAAAATAGATATAATTAATAAAATAATATTTTTAGATTGCTTCAATTTGTATTCCCTCACTTGAGAGAAGTGAGATTTTTATATATAATATTGTAATTATTTCATTCAATTTAATAATAATTAATAGTAAATTTATTTTTAAATTTATTTTTAAATTATTATATTAAATTTATAGTAATAAATTTATTAATTAAATTTATTTATTTTATGTAATATTTTAATATTTTATTTATTTTATATAATATTTTATTTATTTTTTAATATAATATTTTAAATATAAGTTTTTGTTCAAATGAAAAGTTAACTTTTTTTTTTTTATTTTGCTCGTGTGCGAAACCCTCCTTCGATCAACCAAGGTTTCCAGCTGCTCCTTTTCATTCTGATTTCGCATCCGCTTGTTTCACACTCTTACAACGCTCGCCATTTCCGCTAATCTCCTGGAAACTCGTTAGACCTATTCAATTTACTGTAATCGTTCGTTCGTTCGTGACAATTTGATTTTCGTCAAGCGAGATTTTACACGTGAACTGGCACATTGGATCGCCCGGGATTAATACAGTCGTGAAATGGATTACGTGCAAAAATTCGCTTTTGCGCACGTTTGATAAAATTATCCAGAATTTTTTTTTATGATCCATCTCCTCTTCCCCTCCCCCTCTTTCCTTCCTATCCCCCCCCCCCGTCGAAAAATTACACGCCTGGTATTATTGTTCATCGCGTATACCGTTCCGTTGTAAATCTTCCCATTGATAAACATGAAGTCGAGCAACTGCGGGCAAACTACGTTATATTCGCGGCTACGAACGATCGCGCTCGTTAAACACGTTATACGTAGAGTGACTCAACTGTGAGAACGATACTCCACTCGACTTTGAACTCGATAACACCGTCGACTTACGTCTCGTCTTCGAAATAGCAATGTGATTCTCGCATCGTGCAAATTACCGTACGATACTAACAATGAGTTATTTTTATACGCTTGGTAAAATTGTATGTAGACAGAGAA